GATGTTTGTGATCCTGCATGGGCTCGCTGCTGTGCGCGCTGTGCTTGCTAGTAAGTGCTTGCAGAATCAGAGTTTATTTTGAGCCTTTATTAAAAAGGGGAGGGGAAAAAAAAAAAAAAAAAAGGAAAAGCAGCGTGCCCAAGTTCCTCATGAGGGAATACTGATGCATGTACTATTTCTAGAACGTGCAAGTCCTCTGCTCATTCATGGGGAGTCAGCCTGGTGTGATAAGAGTTCCACCTACGTTGCCTCTGCTTGATTGAGACTATCAGGATGGTTTCGGAAAGCACCCCGTGCGATCTGCCATCATATAATGCAGCCCAGCTCTGGAGAACTGGCAGAATTTTGGAATTTGTATTTGGTCCTAATGTTCTGTACCGAGTTGGCAAGTGAGATTTCTGCTCGGAATGAATGACAGTTGGAGCTTTGACACAGGAACATTTGCCCACCAGAGTTGCTGAACTCACCCACTGCCAAGTCTGTCACTAAATTAGCAGATCGGCAGGGACAGCGGTACGTGGTACAAACTGTGTCACGCTCCTTTGCGCCTTTGGGTCCCAGTCCTGTGCAGGAGGACCACATGCCTGCCTGCGAGATGGAGGAAGGCCACACTTCTCCGTTTTAGACAGTTTTATGTCCCTTTCTACAGCAACTTCCAAGCATCTCACACGCTTCGATGGAGGCAGCATCACGCTATTTCTCAGACAGAGAGCTGAGGTGTGGGAAGGGAAGAACAGATAAATTTTGGCCGATTTAAATGTTAAACTCATTTCTACAGTGTAAATGTTCTCACCTGGGCACTCTGCCCTGCTGCTGCAGGTTACTGCCCCTGCCCCAGGACAGCAGAGTGGGACGGGTGCCCACCTCTGCCCTCAGCTGCCCCAGGGCATCAGCTCATGTCTCAGGGCTCTGGTTCATATGGGATGGATGGAGGCGGGATGGCCGCTCAGCTCACGAGGCAGACTCTTCTCCAAGGTTCGTTTCCCATTGTAGGCAGCCTGAAAACCACCACAGCCCTGGGTTCAGTGCGTACCTCGGAGTTTGCTCGAATGCAGTGGAGATGGGGGGGGGGGGGGGCCCATATTTCCTCCTGCTGACTTTGTTCTGGGGCTGGGAGTCTGTAGCCAAAGAGCAGCGGGTAAGATGGCTGGGGGGGATGAGAGCAGCTCAAACCGCCGCAGCAGGGTTGCGAGCAAGCTCCGCGCCTCGGGCAGAGGGAGGTTGTGGGGGAGCACAAGGTAACACACAAGTTTGCGTGAATCCTCAGAGGTGTCTTTCAGTGCTGGCCTGGGTTTGTTTCCACCTGCCCTTCTACCAGCATTTCTAAGTGTTAGCAGCCAGCGTTTGAGTATTTCTAACAGTTTTTACCTGCCACGTTCACTTGGTTCATTAGTGTTAACTGAGCAGAGTGACGTTGCTGTGTAATAGGTGCGGAGAAGGCTAAAGATGCTCTGCGTGTGGGAGAGGTGCCGTGGTGGCAGTGGCAGCGGGGTCTGGAGGGGACGATGCAGGAGGAGCGGGGCGTGGGGTGCAGTGGGGCAACGGCGGGGTGCATTGCCCCCGCTCCCGCTGCTCTCTTGAAATCCTCTCGCCCCCAGCTGCCCCCCGGGCTGGCCCTGCTTTTGTCACTTGTGCCCGGGGCGAGCTTGGAGGCTGCTCCCCCGCCCCCTCCCCGCCCCGAAAAAGCCTGGAACGATCCCCGTGGGGCTGACCCCGCCATCACCAGCCTCTCCGGCAGTGCCGGGGGCCATCCAACACCCCCCCCCTACACACACACACATTTCCCCGGGGTGCCCGGGCCGAGGCGTGCACCCAGCCGATTGCGGGGGGGTCCCGGCGGGGCGCGGAGCCCCCCCCCCCCCCCCAGCGTGGGGCGGCGTTTGTGGGGTTAAGGTGTCCCGGGGAGGGGGGGTCAGCCCGGTCCTACGGCCGGAGGTGGCCCCGGAACCCTCCCCATCGCGAAGGCAGCGCCCCGGCGTTGGGGCTGAGGCTGTAGCAAACTCCCTTGCAAGAGCTGTTTGTTGACCACATTCACGTTCAGAGCCCTGAAGCTAAAAGCACTTTACACCATAAAATAAAAGCACTGTCTTTTTTTCTAAAAGGTTACGTCTGGAGGCCACGCTGCTCATACTTCATACAGAAAACTACTGAAAGGGCTATGAAATCCTCTATGATTTACACTCCCTCTCAGTGCATTAGGATATAGATCTACTCGACTCTAAAAATACTGTGGAGTTTCTAACCGACGTGAATATATGTGCATTATTTCAGAAAGTCTGTTAGAAAACTTGTCAACACATTATAAAGCATAAACCAGGACTTGGCCATTAAATACAGAGATCAGAGACAGCATATATACTGCAGGAAGTACCGAGAAAAGTCCCTCCATTCAAAAAAGGTCTATTAGCTAAAAGTTTACACACAATATACACCAAAGGGTTTAGAGAGAGCCCGTGGACCGTAATTACAAGGCATAAATGGAATCAGTAAGGGCTTTACGGTCCCCAGCGCAGTTAACTGGGCTGCCAGAAAATAATTTTAATATTGTCATAATTTATTACCCACCGAAAGCCACATCAAGGATTGTAAATATAGTTACTTTGTGTCCACGACTGCTCGTTAAAGAGCTTCGTTCCCTTCCCCTAAAAATACAATAAAATACAAACCCACCTGCATTATTAATCTGCGGTTATGCCGTGTTAAAAATGTCTTCTGACTCCTTTTCTTTCTTGAGGTTTGTTATCTCCCTCCAATCACATGACAATGCGAAGCGCTGGGGGGGACCGGCGGGGGGGGGGGAGCGACGGGGGGAGCACATTGCGATCAAATGCTAATATTAATAATTATCCAGCCAGGATGAAATACTGTTTTTAAGGCAGCGAGTTTCCATTTAATTCGAGGCATTTTACGGTGCTGGAATTAAGGGCATGCTAATGGTAGGAACATCCTCGCTGCCATTCATGAAAGCATCTGTAAAATTAGCTCCTGACTGTAGGTTTTAAGATGCGGTCTGGGAAGTCACCTCTGGAATCTCAAACACGGTACGATAAGAAGCCAGATTTAGTCGTAACTAAGTGCTTAATTTGCTATGATTTTTTTAAGGAAAATCAATGAAATGTTGCCTGTTATTTATTGGGAATAACCACAGATAGGTATCCTGATGCAGGTTGGTTTTAGAGAGCGCACAACTGCGTAATGAATTGTAATTCAGAGGACTGTTAACTGTGAGCCACAGGACCTTCCCGGGGTAATAAAGTCATTACTTTTTACACTGCAGCCACCTTGAAAAGCTTTATACGTGCTATTATAGATAAATCAAACCCCATATATACATCTCTCCCGTACACACACACGCCTGTTTCTATACGTTTCGCACAGGGACATCGGTACGGCAGCCAGTCCCGAAAAGCGGCGGGAGCCCCAAAGCCAGGAGCACTTGCCTATTGTCACCTGCGGCTGGGTTCCCCCGGAAAGTCACGCAGGACGGGCATTTGCTTTCCACACCCCCCCCCCCCTCCCCTCCGGGTGCCTCCCCAGCGCCGGGGTGAGACCCCCCGGCTGGGCTCGCCCGTGCGCGACGGGGGGAGCGGCGGGGCTGGCGGCGGCGGGCGGAGCCGGGTGGGGGGGTGGGGGGTGGATTTGGGGGAGGGAGAGGAAAACTGCTGGCGGGAAGCTGAAACAGTCCCACGCCGGAGCGATTCGCCCCGGCCTCTGACAGCTCCGCCGGCGGCACGGCCGGGCTCGCCTCGCCAGCGGGGCCCCGCCGCCCCCCCGGCCGGCATCGTCCGGGCCACGGCAGCGCTGCGCGTTAAAAATCTTTCTTACAGTGGCGGGCGGCTTCTCGTCCCCCCTTGCCTCCCGTCCAGCTCTCTCCTCTCGGTTCCCGTCTCTCCGCCTCCGTCCCGGGCGCGGGTATCCCCCTCGCACTCCTCTCGCTGCCGCACTTTGCTCCGAACGCCCCTTCGCCTCCGGAGCTTATTTCTACTGCAACCTGATCCCTCCCCGTGCCGGCAGCCTCCGCGTCTCTCCCGTCTGTTTTCGGCGAAGTTACAGCCGCCGCATCCTCCCAACTCCAGCCACTTCTCGGTGCCTCCCGCCGCCTCCCCCGTCTCCCCTCCGCCCCCCCCCCCCCCCCCCACCGCCGCCCTCCCCCGGTGCCAGCCCGCTGCCCGCGCCGCCCCGCCGCCTCCAGCCCCGCGTTTCGCTTTCGTTAAGAGACCGCGGCTGCGGGCAGGGCTAGGAGCGCTGCCGGGGGAAAGGGGCTCCGGGCTGGCGGGGAAAGCTGCGAGGTCCCGCTCGACCTCTTCTAACCACCCCCCCTCTGCCCCCCCCCCACCCCCAACCGCCCCGCTCCTGCGGCTTCTCCTCCCGTCTCTGCCGCTTCCTCGCTCGCCAAACTCCGCTCGCTTCTCCCCCGGGCCGCCCCGGGGCAAAGAGCCCGGCTCGGCGGCGGGACAAGGCCCGTCGCTCCCCGCCGAAGTTTCCCGCGGGCCGGGCTGAAACCCCCCCCCCCCCAACCCACCCCCTACCCCCCCGGTTCCCCCCGGGGCCGGGCCGCAGCTCCCGGGAGGAGGGGACTCCGCGGTTTCGCGGGGAGGGGGGGACGGGACGGGATACGAGTGGGGAAGCCGGGAGCCGGATGGCCCCCCCCTGCTTTTTGGGTGGTCTCCGGTCCTACCTGGCTTCCCCAGCTCTCCCACCTCCTCGGCACCTCCCGAGGCTAGCCTGCCCCGCAGCCCTCTCTGCCCGTCTTTTGCTTCGTGGATGTATTTGCTTTTCCAGCGGGGGTGTGCGCGCGTGTGCTGCCGCTGCCTGCCTGCCTGCTCGCCTTCTCCCTCTCGCTTTCCTCCCTTCTTTCTCCGCGTGTGCGTGGTTCGCTCCCCCCCCCCTCCCCTCTGCCGGCTCCCCTCCCGCAGCCGCTCCTCCGCGGCCACTCGCGGCTCCGGCCGCCGCCGCCCCCGCCGCCCCCGGCCCCCCGGCCCCATTCGGCAGCGGGCGCCGGGCGGCCGGTGCACCCCCTCCCGCCGCGCCCCCTCCCCTCTCCCCCCTGCGATCACTGTCCATTGGCTTGTCCTGCTCTCTTTTTCATGTCCAGCCCCTGATGAGTGTCCATTGGTGTTGCCTTCGCCTTCCCTCCTCCCCTCTCCCCGGCTTGCCCTGCCCATGTTTTGTATGTCTCTGTCCATCCAGGCTCCTGACGTTCAAGTTCGCAGGGACGTCACGTCCGCACTTGAACTTGCAGCTCAGGGGGGCTTTTGCCATTTTTTTCATCTCTCTCTCTCCTTCTCTCTCTCCCCTCTCTCTCCCTCTCCCTCTCTCTCTCTCTTTTTTTTTTTCCTTGCACAAAAAAAAAAAAGCCATGACTGCTATCCCACAATTCATCTTCCCTGCGCCATCTTTGTATTATTTCTAATTTATTTTGGATGTCAAAAGACATTGATGAAGATATTTTCTCTGGAGTCTCCTTCCTCTCTAACCCGTCTCTCCCGATGTGAACCGAGCGACTCACAAGCCACCGAAGCCACCAACCCACCATGTCGCGCCGCAAGCAAGGCAAACCCCAGCACTTAAGCAAACGGGAATTTTCACGTAAGTAACCCGGAGAGCAATTTATTTAATTTCTCATTCACGGATTTAATTTTTAATTTGAGCGAGAGCAGAAGGGGAAAAAAAAAAAAAAAAAAAGTGAGAGGGAGTGAGCGAGTCGGGGAAAAAAAAAAATGAACTCAACGCCGGCGCGGGATTATCAGCATTCCGGTTAATTTCTGCCTCTCTAATTTAGTCACCTTGATTACTTTTCTTCGCTTTCTCTCTTTCTGCCCCCCGCTCCGCTCCCTTCTCCCCACTCCTCTCGCCTCCCGCTTTCCCCGCTCTTTGGCGGCAAGAGCGGCGGCTCCTCTCGCCCCGGCAGCGGGAGAGGCGGCGAGCCGCCCCGCGCGGGCGAGGTGCGGGGCTACCGGCGGCCAAACCGCCCGAAAAGTGGAAAGAAATTCCTGCGGGAGCGGCGGGCTGGACGCCGGACACCTTGGCCGGGCGGGCGGGAGCCGCGGGCGAGCGGAGCGGGGAGAAAGTCCGGTGGCCGGAGCCTCCCCGCCACCGGCGGGCTCGCCCCTTCGCCTCGGCAGCCTCCCGGGGGGGGGGGGGGGGGAGCCGAGCCCAGCCGAGCCGGGCCGGGCCGGGCCGGGCCGCCTCCCTTTTGTTTCTGCCGCGGGGTGCGGGGTGGCCGTCCCGCCGCCGCCGCCCCGGGCCGGCGCCGTGCGGGGCTCCGCCGCCCCGACCTCGCCCCGCCGCCGCTGCTCGGGGCTGGGGGCGGCACCGGGCGGCGGGGGAGCCGAGCCCAGCCGCGCCGAGCCGCGCCGAGCCGGGAGGGATTTTCCCTCCTTCGCCCTCGCTTCGCGTTCTCCCCGCTCGCTTACTATTTTTTGGAAGATTTTCAAAAAAAAAAAAAAAAAAAAAAAAAAAAAAAAAAGTGGAAGTGGATTTTGATTGGGAAAAATCTCGTGTCTGAATGTTTACAAGCACCGCGTGTGCGGGGAGCCTCCTGCCAACAAACACAGGCGAGAGCGAGCCCGGGCTGAGCACACACACACACACACACGCACGCACACTCGTACACACACGCACACACTCACACCCGCCACCGGCCCTTTCTCGCCGCCGCATTTCAACCCCAAACCAAATCCGCTCTCCCCGGGAGAGAAAAACCGAACCCCGAGCCCCACCGCACCGTTCGCAACAAAAACTCTCCGGCTCCCTCCCTCCAGCCGCCACCACACACACCAGGGCTAGATGCAAGATAAGCGGGAGCGCTCTTTGCACAACAAAAGGCAACTCGAGCTGGAAAGGTTTGGGGCGAGGGGGGTGGGAAGGAAGGGAGAAAAAAAAAAAATCCCCTTTTCCTCGGGGTAAACTGGGGGGAAGGGGAAATGTTGCATGCTGCTTCTCGCTCTTTTTCCCTCCCGTTCTTTTATTTTTCTTTCTTTCTTTCCTTCTCTTTCCCCCATTACTCCCGCCGGGTTTTGTTCCCTCCCAGGGATGGCAGAAAACCCAGGGCGATTTCTTCCTGCCAGCGATCCCCGGCTCCCTCTTCCCTTCGCAAAATAAAATAAAAAAAAAAAACAAAAAAAAAACCAAAAACAAACCCCAAGAAAAAAAAAACCCCACCAAACCCAAAACTTTACGTTGCGATTCTTCTTCCCCCCCCCTCCCGCCGGCTGCCCAGCCATTGCCAGCCGGGTTTGCACATGGAGCCCCCCCCGAGCGAAACGCTGGCTTGCTGCAGGCAGCCGCTCCGCTGCGGGCAGGGCCGGCTCTGCCCTGCACAAAGTTTCCCCTAAAACTCGGGGGGGTGTGCGTCTGTGGAGGGGGGTGTGTGTCGGGGGCTCGGTCCTTCCTTCCCCCCCTCCCCCCGGTCGTTCTCTCTCCGCCACTTCTCGGGGCTTTTTTTTTTTTTTTTTTATTATTTTTCCGTTGAATTGCCCGGCGTTGCGTTAGGGTAGGGGTTGCAACGTTAATGATACGCTTATTGGGGCGCGACCCCCCCGCACTCTCCCGAATTGGGGGTGCTTTCCCCGCGCCGGGATGCCCGGGCGACCCCCGGGGGAGTTGGGAAAGGGGGATCGCGGCGAGACCGGGGGGGGGGTGTGGGGGGGCGGCTCCGACTTGCCGCGGAGACGAGCGGGATCCCCGCGGCTCCTTTTCGCTGAGATACCCGCGGGCTGGCGCGGAGTTTCCGCACGTGTGGGGCGGGAGCGGCGGCTGGGACGGACCCGGGGGGTGGTGGTGTTTGGAGGGGAGGGTGGGGTGTGTGTGGGGGGGGGTGGGTGGGTTCCCTCCAGCGAGGGACGCCCCGGGGATGGGGGGGGGTGTGTGTGTGTGGGGGGGGGGTGGGCCGGGAGATGGAGGGGGGCCGGGCCGGGGGAGCGGAGGGCCGTGCGGGGCCGGGGCCGGGGCCGGGGCCGGCGGCGGGGCGGCGGGCGGGCTGCCTGCCCGCTTCGGTCGCTAGGAGGCACAGCGAGATCAAACAACCGGGCAGCCCCGCGAACTTGAACCTGGCCGGCTCCTCCGCTGCCTCCCGGCCGGCGGGAGGGGGGAGGGCGCCCAGCTCCCTCCCCTCCAGCCCCCCCTCCCTTCCCCCCCCCCCCCCCCCCCCCCCCCCCCCACCTTCTTCTTCTTTGTTCTTAATTTTTGCGCGGAGTTTGCTTGCTCCGGGAGGCAGCGGGTGATGTTCGCCTTCCCCCTCTCCGGGTTTCCCCCCCCCACCCCCACAACGTGTTGGCGGTTCCCATTGTACCCCGAAATCCCCCGTTTCCTTGCACCGCGCCATCCCAGGACACAAACTTGGGCTGAAACAGCCCCTCTCCATCCTTCCCACGGCACGGGGAAATGCGTGGATGCGCTGCCGGGGCATTTCCCTGCGCCGTGCCGTAGCATCCCCCCCATTCCGCCCCCCCCCCCCCCCCCCCTCCCCGCCCCATCACCCCCGGTACCTCCTTTCTCCCGACACTCCAAAATCCATCCCGCTTTTGCTGTAGAGACGGTGCGGTTGTTTTGGTGACTGGGAACGGGGAAAAAGGGGGGAGTAGGAGGGCGAAGGGGGAAAGCTGAAAAGACATGTTGGTGGAAGGGCAATTTGCATGAAAAATAGGGACGGATGATTAGGGACCCAGGCAGGGAATTTTGATTGCCCCAGAATTAAAAGACACATCCTGCAAATCAGTGGCAAGACCAGGTGAATTCTACTTTGGCGTTTTCTTTGTAAACCCGGTATTTTCTATTTTGTTTTAAAAGTAGCAGTAATAATAAAAACATATTTTTGCCGGCTCTGCCTCCAGCATGAGCCAAATGTTTTGCAGAGAACACAGTGCCAGCCGTATTTCATACATTAGTATATAATTCTTGTTAATTAGCAATAATTTACGTTAAGAGCATAGAAAATGTTGAGGTTACGGGTTTTATATCTGTACATTTGATCATCTTGTTATTTTCAAGAACTTTGCCTCCTATAAAATTAATTAGGTGAAATGTGGAGGTGTAATCAGCAACCTCTGAATTACCACTTCATTTCCTGGTTTTGATTGTAAATCAGCCCAGTCGGTACAGACTTTAGCAAAGTCTATTTTTGTTTAGCGCTACTTTTAACTGTCTGGTGTCAAAGCAGCGGGTTACCTTCCCCTGCTAAATAATACTGACAGGGTCAGAAAGAAATCAGGCCGCGGGAAAACATTGTAATTGAGTAATGATTATGCAGAGCTCCTCGCTAAGCCAGTTGTAAGGGGAACACGGGTTATTTTGTGTCTTTTAGTTGGTGAGCTAGAAGTTAGATTCGCAAAATACCTTTGTCTGCGGCGTGCAGCGAGCTACTGGTGGAATTAGTCCTGCAATAATTTACTCCCTCGGTCCAAACGTAAGGAATGGCTGGGGAGAAAAACACCATGCCCAGCAATCCCGCAGAAACACCCTGCTCCTCTCCCGGCTTCCCAAGGAGTGTGAAATGCACGTTGTGTGTCTTACCTTGTCAGTCTGTAAGTTTAGAAGAAAACCCCAGCGATTAAGACATTGTTTTTATTAATACGAATGTAACCTTCATATTCCTGTGGTTGACCTTACGTTAAATTAGAAGTAGTACTAGAGGCAAGAAATGATGGACTGGATCCCTGTGTCCTAGTTGGAGCTGAGGTACGGCAAGGTAGTGTGCTCTTTCAATATTATTTTACGCAGCACAACTGGGAGCTACTCCAGATCTTCCTCCTCAATATTCAGCCTAGGTAGGGTTGAAATAAATTTAACCTGAGTTCACTGGATTTTTGCACTTTATCAAAATTTGTTCCAATATCGTGCAGTCAAATTAAAATCTATTTTTTGATTCTCTGTGGCTTTAAGTTCATTAAATGTGAAATTGGCAGCCAGCTAAAGAAGGTCAGGCTGATTAACTGTTTAGGAGTTGTATTCTGTCTCACTTGCGTTACCTGGCAGTGTTTTGAGGTGGGTTGTATTTGTAGTACCCTCTCCTCCTGCTCGCTGCTGTTAGCGTGCGTCTTGTATTGTTGCGCAGAGAGAGGAATACCAACATGCTGCTGGTATTTTCTTTCTTTTTTTTTTTTTTTTTTTTTTCCTTGTGTAAGGCAATAGTGATGGAGACTGCACAGAGATTGCCAAGGTATTTCTCTGCAAACTTAACAAAAAAAAAAAAAAAAAAGCCAACAGAAAAGAGAGCTGCGTCTGCCTTGTTAGAGCATCCACTGACGATTCTGTGAGCAGAAATAGCCTCATAATGAAGCTTTTTGGAGCTCATTCAGAAAATTTGTCAACTTTGACAACATTAGGCAAGGTATTTTCAGTTTAAAGAAGGCACTTCTCACTGTTGGGAGGCAATGTGGCAGTTGCTTGGCCACGCTGATTTTTAGATGCTGAGGGCCACCAGTGCTAACACGTTCAGGATAATTTAGGCATTCCTTTATTTCAGGATAGAAAAAAAAGGGAAAAATGACTAATTGTCTTGTTTCCTTAAGTACTAAAAAATATCCCGTCCAGCTAATATCTCTGGGTGGATTCGGTCGTGAATTTGGTATTTATTTGAATCCTGAGGAGTAACTGAAAAGTGAGAGGTGCCTCCCCCCGCCCCACAGGCATTTCTGCTGCACTTGGCTTTTTATCATTTCAGTTTCTGCCATTTATTTATTTATTTGCCTCGTCCCTTCCCTCCCCCCCCGCGTAGAACTCCCGGCTTTGGAATTTTTAAATTGGAAGCTGCAAACGGGCTGACAGGGATAGTGACACAGACACATACATATACGCATGCACGTGTGCTATAAGGGCTATATGTGCCCCGTGTGTAGGTGCCTGGCTGTGTGCGGCCATGCGGTCCGGCTCTCCCTCTCTTTTCTTTTACGCACGCACGTGCTACCTGCACAGCCTGTATGGGGAATATGCAATATCTGTATGTCGAAGCACCTTTTGTCTGCACCCGCACCCGCGTGGTTCAGGCTTCTGAATGTTAGAAAGTAGGTCTGGCTGGTGGAAAATACACACCCATGTGTGTGTGTGTGTGAGAGAGAGCGCGTGCAGTGCTTTTAGCCTTGAATTCATATACATAAATAATACATCCGGCAATAAGACACCGTATTCGCTTCTCCTCGTAGTACCACAAGAGTTTTGCCGTGTATTCTTTCAGCCGATTCATTTAATTTTAGCACCGAATCGTTCAGTCGAGTCAGAAATTTGTCCTCGTGTGGGAACAGAGAGACAGTGGCAGTGCTCGCCCTCCGAGTTCTGCATGCTACAGCTGCTTCTGCAAAATCTCTTCCCTGTAACTGATGAATTCATCATCTCCTCGCTGCCGTGCTAATAGCCGTGTTGCATGGGTTTAGTTGGGGGGGAGCAGGCGGACGTGGTGAGCAGGGTGTAATATTCATGAAGAGGGGGCTCGGCGCGTTCCTCCCCCCGCGCCCGGTGCCTTTCCCGAGAGCTCTAATGATTCTCCTTTTGTTTCTCAAACTGCAGCCGAACCTCTTGAAGCCATTCTCACTGATGACGAACCTGAACATGGCACATTGGGAGCTCCGGAAGGGGACCACGACCTCCTCACTTGTGGCCAGTGTCAGATGAACTTCCCGTTGGGGGACATTCTTATTTTTATTGAGCACAAACGGAAACAATGCAATGGCAGTCTCTGCTTAGAGAAGGCTGTGGATAAGCCACCTTCACCCTCACCAAGTGAGCTGAAAAAAGCATCCAATCCTGTGGAGGTTGGCATCCAGGTTACGCCAGAGGATGACGATTGTTTATCAACGTCATCTAGAGGAATTTGCCCTAAACAGGAACATATAGCAGGTAAATTAAAGCAAGGAGAAGTGTTTGCGAGTTTATTTCCGTTTCAGTTGCAACGTAGCATGCTCGCAGTTGTAAACTGCCGTGTCTGTCTCTCTGTTCTGCTCGCCGTGACGGCCGACGTGTTAAACACCCTGCCTTGGGTTAGTGGTGAGCGCACGACCGGTATTTCCTAGTGCCTGCGCAGAGCAGGATCAACAGGCACGTGCTGTGCCAGCCGGTATTTCTAACGGTATTGTCTGAGGCTGCTCTTGTGATTTGCCTGTATTGTAGTCCCCGTCCTCCGGTGTCTCGCCTGCCGTAGCGCTGCGGGAGGAGATTTCAGAGCCTGCCGCGCGATGAAGCCAGGAGCTTTCGAGTCTTTGGCAAAGTCGGGGGGGAAGGAGTTAACCGAGCGTCAGCCAGCCTTGGTTCCATGTTGGCTGTCAGCGTATGGACTGTAATTAAACACAGCCCCATGGCAAAGTGACACCACCGACCTTGACTTTAAGATGCCATTTTCGACTGGCCAGGCCAGAGTAGAGAGGGCAGTTGCTGAAGCGCACAGACATGCTTATTCGAAAAGTTTAAGGGCATGTTGGAAATTTCAAAAGGTTGGTTTGACAGGAAAGGCCGCTCTCTGCAGCCTGCCTCCTCAGCCAAATGATAAATGCTTCGCTGTGCTCTCTCTTGTCTCTGATGTGGTTTTGACAGATGTATCTTGATTTTGTTTGCGGTTTACACAACCACATGTCAGCCGTACAAATGTCCGAGGCAGAGTTCCGTTTTGTGCAACAAACAATATGAAATGTAATTGAAAAAAAAAAAAAAAAAAAAAGGGTAAATAATTCCATTTCTTAGCTTTTTTTTTTGCCTTTTTTTTTTTTTTTTTTTTAAGCTGGAAAGCCATTCGCTGTGCAGTTATTTTCACAAATGAGGTTCAAAAAATAGAGTGTACTATGTGAAAGAAAACCCCAGAGCCCTGGGAGTGTAACAAGGCATGCTCTGCTTTTAAAATCCTGCTAGTAGACAAAAGTCCTACCCGTTTGCAGCGAGCGTTGCGAATCACTTCAAACCACACCAATACTACCGGTCGAAAAAGGCGAGACTGCAGCGTATCGACGCCAACAAATACCTGACCCAGTTTCAGCCCCCCCTCCCAGCGATGTTTGGGATGAGGCACTGCGGGTACCTCTCTTTGGGGAGCCCACGGGACCGCTCCGGCTTGTCAGGGGCGCAGTGCTACAGCATCACAGGATGTGCTGAAGCTTGTCTTGGGCTTGCTCTGGCCACAAAGTTAAACCAGAATAGGGCAGTAGGCGCTGGGAGGCTCGGTGCGATGCTCCCGCAGCCTCCCTGGCCTCCAAACCAGCTGTCGGGTCATGCTGGAGAGCTGTAGTTTTGAAATAGGCATTGCTGCGCGCCTGTCCGTCTGCACACATGTATATGCAAAGCCGTGTGCATGTACACGCATACGTCATGTGAATGAATGTACACTATTCCTGCAGAGTAATAGGTATTACTTTGAATACACGTGTATATGTATGTTTAAGAGGAAACAGAGGCTCAGCTACTGCTGAGCTACATTTTGAATGAGACTTAAGAAACCAAAGAATTCCACATATTGCGCTTCCCAGCCACGGATGTTTAAGGTGTTGTTTTTTTTTTTTTTTTTTTTTTTCCCCAGAGTGGTAGGAGGCAGTGCCCATTTCCATGTGCTGCCTGCGATCTAACGGAAAACGAGCAGAAGCGTAGGGCATGATTAATGAAGCGGGAGTCTGGCGGAAGGGATTTGTAGTCTTCCGAGCTCTGGAGCCATACTAAATCACCAAATATGGAGGAGCAGCGGTATGATGTAACGCTGTATTTACGTACGGCGCCGCTCTGTTGAAAAGACAAAACACAGTATCTGTCAAGCAAGAATTAAACCCGCTCTCCTCACCGTGGTCCCAAATAGGTCCCTTGGCCGCAGGGACAGCCACGTCGGGGGGGTTCTGCACGAGGGAAGCTCCTCAGCTGAGGGTTTTGCTCTGGCGCTCGTTCGGCGCGGGAGGCTGGGCGAGCCAAACCACGCTTCCACGTGGCGCGGGGGACATGAAGCGAGCAGGATTTGGCCTCGTGCGATGGCACGGGGCCGTTGATTCAGAAAAGGCCCGTGGTTTTAATTGACTTTAAATGGCTCGGTGAGCAGAGGGCAGTGGGTAAAGAGAGGTGCGTGTCGCCAGGGGCCTCATCCTGCTCTCCCTTACACGCGGGGATCGCCTTTGCTCTGCAGGTGGGCCCGGCTGGGAGTGGGCCTGGTGCTGTGCCAGGAGGGTCTGTGGTGCAAGCCACGAGTCCTGTTGGGAGTAGAGACCGGGCTGCAGTTGTCCAGGCATCTCCCGCCCCAAGTTTTCTGCGTGCTGGTGCCCAGCCGTGCCTGTGGATGGGAGGTCTGAGAGCACGGGTCTTCTCCTGCACCTCCCCGGCGGGGACGGAGCTGAGGGGCATTGGGGTCCCCCAGTTGATCCTGGGGGTGGGAGATGCAGCCGGGCTGTGGGAAGGGGGGGAGTGAGCACCAGGAGTTACGGGGTCTTGCACTGTCCCTCCGTGTTTTCATCTCCCCTCTCACTTGGATGAGTTTGGCTCCCTTGTATCACAAAGAGGTGTGGCCATAGCTGGAGTGACCCATTGCTTGTAGCCGGGAGTTTGTGGGCTCTGGCAGTAAAAATACCAGTGAGGGTCTTGGAGTGAGCTGTGGAGTTCAGGTTTCTGGAAGGCCCCTGCAGTGAACATCAGGCTCTTCCAATTCTGATATTTTAGATCTGATTTCTGTGCAAGAATGCAAAATGCAAAAGGATACGAGTGTGTAATAAAAAAAAAAAAAAAAAAAAAAGACAGGCTACCTTTAGAAAAATACACAGGAGTTGAGGGAACTGATTCTTTCTGGTAAGAGACCAGAAATACGTATTTAGTAGCAATGTAAAAATGTCCCTGATTAGTTGTTAGGCTTCAAGAGGCGTTACTGGATACAGAGATGCTGTAGGTTAGCTCTGGGTGCAGTATGCGCTCTGTCTGCAGTTTTGTAGTCAGTAAGTTGGTGTGTTACAGTAAAAGATCATCTTGAGATAAGTAATGGTTAAGGATCAGCTCATCTAAAGACCAGGAAGGAGGCAGCGAGTCATTCAAACGCAGGGAGAAATGATGTCTGTTTTAACCGTCAATAGGCTGCTCTTTATCCTCACCGTTTTCCAGAGACGGGGATGAGTACAAGAGCTTATATGTATATGTGCAACCTGTGCAGTGGCTGTGAGATCCACGTAGGTGCAGGCATGCGTACCTGTCTCTGGCGCGTGGGTGTCTGCCTGCGCGTAGCTTTGACTTGCTATAAAATTTTGAGTGATGCTGATCCAGCGCTATAGCTGAAATGTCATAAATTTAACTGAAAATTAATAGGATATGTTGTGTGGGTCCAATGAGGCAGCTTTCATCAATATGTATGTCAAAGCCTCACCACCAGATACCGGCAGCCCGTGATTTGCAGTGAGTGCTACGGCAGGGCTTTAGTTATCCGCTCTCATATTTTACAATAGGGGGAAATATTAACTGAAGTATCTAGAGATCAGTGAATGTAAAATTGCTGTTCACTTATTGAAAAGGCTGAAGAAATATTTATCGTCCGCTGGTGTCAGGTTTTAGCGGTTTGTTTGTTGAATGTATAAATCCGAGGGAATTAATGAGAGGTTGTTTTTTTGGGTGAGGAAGGATCTTAAACGTTACTTGGATTCAGTTGGAGAAACACTTTGGAGTGCTGCTGCATATTCCCCTTTATAATGCCGAGTGTGTGTCTGCAGACGCCGTATTTACTGTACAAAGAGGGGAGGAGGAGGGGAGGTTGTTTTTACTGCTTGAATCCTTTATTCTCAAGCTGCTTGTGGCATTCAAATAAAATATGTGGGAAAATAACATAAGAAGGAACCTCTGTCTGCTGTAATCGGGGGAAGGTGGACATAATTCGGTCCTAAATTGTTGACCAAATACATCTGATTATTACAGTTCTCGAGAGGTAATGTCTTTGAGTAGTCATTACACCACAGAAATTTTCTGGGGCTATTAGTAGTAGTTGCCATTATAATTCTGTAGGTGGTAAATTGTGATTCCTTATTATTTTGTTTTGCTCCGGAGACAAAAAATTATTGACGTCTGCGTTGAACAGTTAGCATTGCATCCGGACAACGAGATGACAGCTTAAAAAAAAGGGAGGGGGAGAAGGAATATGGAAATATTTTGGAGTCAAATTCAGTCTGCTTTCCCCATACAAAGAAACAGAGAGCACAGGCTGGGTAAAACAGTTGCAGGCAGGAAAAATAGTGAGGGTGCTACCCAAAGGCACCCGCTCCTGAGATTCGGAGCCCTGCGTACAAGCTGTATTTGTAAATAAGACAGAGAAAGGTTGTGAACCGGCAGCTTGGCTGTTTTGTCAAAGTACAATGTCAGAGAAACTCTTTCTAAGACAAATTGTAAATAGAAGTGTCACGATGATTGCATGATTGAGCTCCAGAAGTGTCTTGCAATTGTTGGCATTGTCAGAAGACTTTTGAAAGCTTAATTAAAGGCGGTGGCCTGTGCGGCTGTGAAATTTACTTCTGGGGGGGGGAGGGAAATGTAAAAAATGTAGGGGATCAAGAAGTTGCTCTAATGCTACTCGCACGGGGATACACAGAAGAGTCAATAGTTTCTCTGCTTGCCCCGTTGCCTTTTATAAATAACATTTTTTGAAGAAGCAAACACGTGACACCAGTATCATCCTTTGTACGAGGTAAAGATTGTGTTAGTTTTCCTATTCCCTGCTGTTACAGACAGTTAATGTAAAAATGTCTCTTTATTGGAAACACAAATACGAGTTCACTGGAAGCACAGAAGCAGGGTAGAAAGTTTTCCTCTGCCTTGGCATGATCCTTCCAGGGAGGCATCAGAGTGTTGTGGTGCCCTGAATCTTTCTGTTTTTTTGTTCCCTGCAAATGAGATCTTCTGGTTTAGAGGAA